TCTTGTAAAAGAAATAGCTGAAAGATTTTAAGAGCCAGGGGAGGAGGTGCATTAAAATATGGAAACAGAGTCTTATAGGCTCCTGGGACCTTGCTCATATGAATATACAGCAATGGTGTCAGCACGCACAAGACCCATGCAAACTCAAGCAGACAAAACCCCAGCATAGAACTGGCAAAATGGGCAGTAGCCCTCAATCTTAGCTGAAGAACTACTGGTAGCTGATTACTGTGGGGTGAGGAAGAGTTATCTTTAATGGAGTGGCTCTAAATAGGCTGACTAGACCCCATTGGATAAACTTGCACTAAGGGACATCTTAACATAAAACAACAGAATGCATGAAATCTGAAGGGGGTGGGGAGGGGTATGGTATGGAAGGGTGTGAATAGGGGAGGGGTATAAAGATGATTAAGATATTTTGTACAAAATACAGAAAAATTCAATAAAAAATACAAAAACTTTTTAAATCTTAAATGTAAATGGGCTCAACTGACCAATAAAATGCTATAGATTAACTGACTAGAATAAAAATCAAGATTTAACTATCTGTTGTCTCCAAGAAACAAACTTGCTTGAGAAAGACACCCACAGACTGAGTCAAAACATGAAAATAAGTTACCAAACAAAAGTTGCCCCCAAAACAAGCTGGCATAACTATTATGATATCTTTATGATATCTGATACAGTACATTTAAAACAAAAATTAGTCAGAAGGGATCAAGAAGACTACTATATATTATTAAAGGGAACAATGAATTCCTCAAGAATATGAATTTTTTTTTTTTTTCTTATTGAAGCAGGGTCTCCCTGTAGCACCAGCTGTCCTGGAACTCACTATGTAGACCAGGCTGGCTGGCCTTGAACTCACAGAGATCCGCCTGCCTCTGCCTCCCAAGTGATGGGACTACAGGCGTGCGCCACCACACCCAGCTAATATGAAAATTTTAAATATATATGCACTAAACCATAGGGTTTTAAACTTCAAAAAATAATACTAAAGGGAATGACAGCTTAGACAGGCACTGGCACAATGACAGTGAATGACTTCAGCACCTACTTTCATCATTAGATTGGTCATCCAAACCAAAATTCAACAAAGAAATTTTGAGACAATCATAACAAACATCAAATGGACTTAATAGTTATCTGCAGAATATTCCAACAAGCGCAGAACGTACATTCTTCTCAGCAGCCTATGGAACCTTCCCTAAAATAGATCACATTCTAGGCCACAAAATCTTAACAAATACAAAATAATTGAAATAATTTCTTTTATCTTATCTGATCATAGAAACTAGAAATAAATAGCAAGAGAAACCTCCTGGACTACACAAGCACTTGGATACTGAACAATATACTCTTGAATAGTGAGGTTCATCACAAAATCAGGAAGGACATTTAAAACCCTCTAGAATCAACTATACATAAAAATACAACTTACCATCTCCAGGACACAGGTAAGGCGATTCTAAGAGGAAAGTCTACAGATATGAGTCCTTACATTAAAAAATCAGAGAAATATCAAGTAAATAACCTAATGTTGTACCTTGAGGCCTTAGAAAAACAAGAATAAACCAAACCCAAAAGCAGAAGGCAGCAAAAAATAATAAATATCAAAGCAGAAATAAATAAAATGGAGACTAAAAGTACACACAGAAATCAATAAAGAAAAAAAAAACACTTATTCTTTAAAAAATTTAACAAGATTGACAAACCTCTAGCTAATGTAACCAAAAAGAAAGAAGGGAGAAAAGAGCCAAATTAATAAAATTTTAAAAGGGGAATATTACAATAGATTCCACTGAAATCCAGAGGATCATTAGAAAAAACTTGTAGTCCATAAAACAGGAAAATCTATAAGGCCTGAATAAATTCTTAAATATATAAGACCTACTAAAATTAACTCAAGAACATACAACTTAAACAGATCCATAAAAAGAAATTAAACAGTAATAAATTCTCAGAAAAAAAGAAAAGTCCCAAATCAGATGGATTCCCTGATGGAATTCTACTAAATTCTTAAAGAATGCTAGTATCAGTGATCCTCAAACTGATCTTTAAGACAGAACAAGAATGACCAGTACCAAACTGACTGTACAAAGCCAGCATATCCAAGCAAAACTGAGTGAGAACATAACAGTAGCAGCAACAAAAACAAAAAAACTCCTAATCAACATATATCCAAAAGTTCTCAATGAATATATTAACAAGAATATATTTAAAAGATTATACACTATGACCAAGTTGTTTCCTTCTAGACATACACAGAAGACACATACAAGTCAATAAATTTAATTCACCATGTAAATAGGCCTTTCATGCCTTTCATGATAAAATTCCTAAGAAATTAGGAACAGAAGGAACATATATCAACATAATAAAGGCTATGATTCAATAAATCTAGAGCCAACATTATACTAATTAGGGAAAAACAGAAATTTCTACTAAAATCAGGAATGAGAGTATGGTACACGCTTTCCCCACACTTATTCAACATAGGACTTTACATCTTAGTTAGAGCAGTAAGACAAGGAAATAAAAAACAAATAGGAAAGAAAGAAGTCAAGCAAGCACTATTTGTAGATGGCGTGACTCTATATTTATAAGATCCTAACAACTACACCAGAAAATTCACAAACTGATGAAAGATTTCAGCAAAATAGTTGTATACAAAAATCAACCTACAAAAATAATTAGCTTTCCTACAAGCCAATAATTAACTTGCCAAGAAAGAAATCAGAAAAAAATCAATTTACAATAGCTCTAAAAAACAAAACAAAACCTCAAAACTTAAGAATAAACCCAATTAAGGAGGCTAAAGACATCTACAATTAAAACTTTGAAGAACAGAAAAAAGAAATGGAAGACACCAAAATACTGACAATGGTGACAGGTTGGCAGAATTAAAATTGTGAAAATCACTAGATTACTGAAAGTAATCTATAGATTTAATGTAATCCTCATCAAAATTTCAGGACATTCTTCACAGAATGAGACAAAAAACACACACTATTATACAAAAACATCAAATATCATGAGCAGCAAAAGCAATCCTAAGCAGAAAGAGCAACGCCAAAGGACCCACAGTAGCCGACCTGAAATTATACTACAGAATAACAAAAACAACATGATTTGGGCACAAAACAGACATACAGGATAAAGTGATGGACCTAGAAATAAACCCATGCAGTGACAGGCACCTAATTTTTGACAAAAGTGCCAAAAGCATATATTGGAGAAAAGACAGAGTCTTTAACAAATGGTGCCTAGAGACGTGGATTTATATCTAGAGAACACTAACATTAGGTCCTTATCTCGCTCTAATCCAAAAGGAATTTAAAAAATGGATCCAAAATCTTATGTCAGAATTGAAACTTTAAAACTACTAGAGGAAACCACTTAATGATGGGGTTGGTGAGATGGCTCAGCAAGTAAAGGTGCTTGCCACCAAGCCTCAAGACCTGAGTTTGATCCTCAAGGCACACAAGATGGAAAGAGAACAAACTCCCACAAGTTGTCCCCTGACCTCCACATGAATGCCATGACACATACAGGCACAGACACGTAAATGCACACACAAAATAAGTAAATAGATACTTAATAAAACACCTAAAGATATAAGCACAGGTAAGGACTTTTGGAAAAAGACTTTTTAAGAGCTCAGAGAATAATTCCAAAAATTGACAAATGCGATTGTATGAAATCAAAAGTTTCTAAATAGCAAAGCAATTAGAGAGTAAAGACAGTCTATAGATTGGGAGAAAGTCTTTGGCAATTACACATCTGACAGTGGATTAACATCTAAACCTAAAAGGATCTAAGTTAAAAAGAAAAACTAAAACAAACAAAAGCAAAGCCACCCCAATTATCTCATTAATAAATGAGCAAAAGAACAGTTTTCAAAAGAAGAAATATAAATGGCTAACAAAAATTTGAAGAGATGTTCAACATTCTTAGTCATGGGGAAATGCAAATTAAAATTACACTGAAATTCTATCTCACTTCAGTCAGAATGGGTGTCAAAAAAAGAAAAGAAAGTAAAAAAAATATATATATATATACTGATAAGGGCGTAGGGAAAGAGGATCCATTAAACACACTGGTGGGACTCTAAATAGGTGCAATGACTATGAAAATCAATAAAAATACTATGAACAAATGATCCAGAAGAAAGTCAGTATACCAGAGATATTTGCATATCCATGTTTATTGCTGCACTATTTGCAATAGTCAAAATACGGAACTATTATAGATATAATCAACAGATGAATGAAGAAAATTTAGTATATATACACAATAGAGTTTTATTTAGCTCTAAAGAAAATGAAATTATGTTATTTGCAGGAAAACAGATGAAATGAAGATCATTAAGCAAAATAAGCCAGATATGTAGGATCTGCATTTAAATATACATATATGCATGTACTTCACTTAGAATTTAATTTCTCAGAATTTTAAATTACAAGGATGCATATATATGAGCAAAACAATATTATAAATTCTTCACTGAATCATTTAATAGCCCCAAACACCAAACAGCCTTAATTTTTGTGACACGTAAATTGAATAAATTGTGGTATATATAAAACAGAAAATCATATACCTATAAAAACAAAAGAAATAGTGATTTATGTAATGATATGGAAATAATTATTGTATGTTATATAATTTTATATAAAGAATGATATCAGGTACCAAGTAATGAATATTCTGTTTTTGTATAGGTAGAGAAATGAAATACATTTTTACCTGCTTATATATCAACTCTGGAAGGATACAGTAGAAACTGATAATAGTAGCTTATGTATGTGGGGGACAAGGATGTGAAATGGACAAATGGAAGAAAGTGGTTAGATACCCTTTACTCCACATATAAATATGAAACATGCAAACACATTATTATTTCAAAACATTGATTTGAAGTGCTCTAATGTTGTAAGTATATTATTAATACACATTTATTAAACAACTACAAAATATAAAATTTTCTATCATCTTACCTGCAAACTAGTCACATAAGAATCTTCACAATTTACATAATGTCCTAACATGGCATGTTGCGCCCGTAATTCATTATCCCTTATCCTTTCATGGAGGTGGCTAATTTGTTGCTTCTGCCTGTAAAACATAAGTTGAAGTCACATTATAAAGAAGATGTTTTTATAAGAAAGTGTGTAGAGAAACTGTAGCATTCTAATGATTTTACAAAAGCACTTCAAAGTTTTTCTTGATCTTAAACACTGGGGGAAAAAGCTTAAATATTTCCTATGTGAAAGACACTGTTAAGAAAAGGAAAGAGATGGCTTAATGGATAAAGTATTTGTGCGAGATAGCTTTAGTGTCAACTTGACACACCTGGGTTGAGGGAGACTCAATTGGGGAATTGCCTCCATAGGACTGGCCCATGGCCATGTCTGTGGGGGCATCTTCTTGATTGTTGAGTGATATGGGAGGGCCCAGCCCACTGTGAGTGGTGGCACCCCTGGGCAGGTGGGCCTGTGTTGCACAAGAAAGCAGGCTGAGCAGGGGCCAGGGGAGCAAGCCAGAAAGCAGAGTTCCTTCATGGCCTGTGCTCCAGCTCCTGCCTCGAGGTTTCTGCCTGGAGTTCCCACCTTGGGCTCCCTGATGAACTGTGACCCAGGAGATATAAGATAAATAAACCCTTTGCTCCCCAAGTTGGTATGGTCAGAGTATTTTGTCAGAGCAGTTGAGAAACAAACTAGAACAGTACTTGTCATGCAAGCATAAGAGCCTGAGTTCAAATCCCCAGAACCCATGGTAAATGCCCACTCATGTAAATACCAGGGTAGGCATAGTAGTTACCCATAATCCCGTAATTCTAACACTCAGGATGCAGACAAGCTAGCTGAACTGGATTTGCCAGCTCCTGGCTCAGTGAGAGACTCTGCTTCGGGTAAATGAAGTGGAGAACAATCAAGGAAGACACCTAATGTCGCCAAGCCTCCACACAGGTGTACAATCACATCTAAACACATCACATACACATACATATTCAAACACACACACACACACACACACACACACACACACACACAAATCTAAGTGTCTTCAATTTCTTTAATGTCTTAAATTTCCATGATTGAGGACTTCCTTTTAGGGGTTAATTCATAGGTATTTAATTTTTATTTAAGCTATTGTAAGAGATGTTTTTCCATGATTTCATCCTTGTTAATTTCATTATTAGTATATTAAAAGGCTGCCAATTTTTTTTACTTTAACAGAGATATATTTTTTAATTACGTATTTAATAACCATATAATTAGAAGAAGCATTTCATTACAACAGCATTGACATATTCAATAACAATTTTCTGAGCTAAGATGCATCTTTTTCAAAATTGGCTGTAAATTTTTAGGTAAAGTTGTATTATTACAGTTATACAATATTATACTCAGTATAAACCCTGTAAGACATAAAAATAAATGAGGTTTTAACCTTTAAAAAAGATTTCCATTTTTCATTATTAAAATACAGTTTCATACAGAAAAATTCATTTTTAATTCAATTCACACTATGATGCACATATGTTTCTAATCTCTATATATCTGATTATTACTAGTCACAGTCAGTTACTTTCTGAGCTCCTTGGCATCTGAGCATGGAATATAAAGTCATCAGGTAGATTTCAATGGGAACATTTTTCACATCTATTAATTATTAAAGAGCAAATTTTATGTTTTGAAGTATTATTTTTTTTTCTTTTTTTTCTTTATTTATACACCCAATTGCCAGGTAGCACCCTCCTATAGCCTCCCTCCCCCGACTAGAACCCTTATACTCTGATATCCCTGTTACTGTCTGCTGTGTTATCGGCACCCCCAGCCATTCCCTACTACTTGCCCTTCTGGTGAATCTAGTCAGCCTATCTAGAGATCTTTGTTTTAGGAGGGTCAGCTGTTTGTCATCTAGCGGTAATCAGTTGTCTGTATTCCTTTGGATAAGATTGGGATCTGCTGCTGGTTTTCCCAGTTCTATGCTGGTTTACTATCTGGAGTCCCTTGGGCCACCCTGGCCAACAACTCAAAAAAAGGTATCGCTTGTCTGGCATTGTTGCTTGTTATGTAGCCATTAGCTATACATATGGATGCTTATGAAATTATGTTGGCCCATTTAATCTTTGGTTACACTTTCCTTTTGGGTGTTTAAGGATTTATTTTTACTCTTAAGGTCATTTGAGGATCTGTTCCTCAGAGGTCACATGGGCTTGGGAGGACCCTCACAAAGTTTAGGC